GTGCTATTATTATAAGTAGAAAATAAATAATTCTTGCAAAGAATATGAGGCAGTCACAAAATTGAATACAATGATAACAACAAAAAATTTTAATTACGGTTATTATTGCAACTGAGGCCTGATGTCTCTTAAAAAGAGAAAGGAACAAATGATATAGAAGTGTTGAAGACAGATCAGTACCAAACTGAGATTTTTTGTTGGCTTAATGAGAAAGACTCTGAGAATTGAAAGAGAATAATGTCCTCATTTTGTGGTCAGTGTCATTTAGTTCTGTGTATCATCTAATGGCACCTCCCATACCATCAAGGGGTGGGGGGCAACACTTACTTAGTGACTCCCCTAAGATCGCCCAGGGACTCAGTGAACTCGGCTTAGGTTTCCTGGCTCCCAGCCCTACCTCTTTTCACAATGCCACACTCCCCACCACCAGCAGGGTAAAATCCAGTCACTTGGGCATAACCACCTTCCCACCCCCACACTCAGCAAGGCCTAGGAAGCAAAAAGAGTGCAAACTGCCAACTACATCCTCGCACTGTGTTCTAAGCCCTTCCCCTGCCCCCTCACAGGTCAAGAGAATTGGCCGCTTGGAAAGACCCAAGAATATGCTATGTTCTACACACACTCTCTCACCTACCCACTATAGGCTGCTACCCTAAAGACACCCCAAACAGGCAATGTCAGAAGGACATGGATGGGGAAAAAATCCTTGAGACAAAGAGATACAGCAATCATTCCATGAGGCTCTGGCTCCAGCTAGAATCCTGCTCAGGGTGAGGGTTCCCAGTTTCTAAGAGGCAGAGCAGGCAATGGCCTAGAGAGGACCAGTGACTTCAAGGTGAATCTCCTGGGAGTTATGTGTGTCCAAGATGATGCATCCAACTTACAATAATTACCCAGATCAGAGACTGAATGTTCAAATATCCTAAGTCCTGCCAAGTGTCCCTGAGCCACATATCCTGAATCTCCCGTGACTGCTCCAGGAGAAGAGACTAGCCAGAAACAAAGATTTTCCCTTTCAAACTCTTTCTTTGGGTCTGTGAGCCACAAGCACCTCTGGGGACAGTAGGCTTGATTTTCCTCTAACACACAAGACCCCCGCCCTCCAATGCATAGTCCAGGCAGATATTCATCTCACTGTGAAGGACCCCTATAGGGACACTCACTTTCCGCTCAGGCTGGTGGCTCCATTTTGAAAAATTCCTCCCTCTAGGGAAGAGCCATTGGGGTCCCCTCCATGACCTACATTGTCTCCTTGAGTTCTCTGCTGCAATTTTGTTTTGAGTCAGATGTTCTGTGGTGCATTGTACAGCAGCCGGTCCCTGAGCACACACTGCTGAGGAGAGCCGCCCCCACAACCTTCACTTTCGCGGCATTTGCCTTGCCAATTATTAGTACAATGGGCCAATTCTCATCTTGTGTTGCTCTTGGGGAACTGGCAAGCTAGGGAACTGGCCTACATTGGAAATGGAACAGCAGAAGTTGCCAATTAACATGAATTCCTTTACTGCATCCCCTAAAGAGGTTAGTCTCTTGGGAGAATTTATGAAAGACATGATCCCAGGCCCTCCAGGAACTCCTTAGATGCCACAGATCTCTTGGGATTGGGACAAATGTCAAAGGTCACTTGGTCTAACCCTCTGTGCAGTGCTTGAATCCCTTAGATCAGAGGTCCCCAACTTCCAGGCTGCAGATCAGTACTGGTCCATGGCCTGTTAGGAACCAGGCTGCATAGCAGGAGGTGAGCGGTGGAGGAGAGAGCAAACCTTCATCTGTATTTGCAGCCGCTCCCCAGCACTAGCATCACTACCTCGGCTCCACCTCAGATCATCAGGCATTAGATTCTCATAGGAGCACCGGTCCCTGGTGCCAAAGAAATTGAGGACCGCTGCGACCTTGACAGCTTCCAGAGCATATCCATGTTTGAGGAACTCACCACTATCCATGGCAGGGCAGTCCACCTTTGGATAGCTGTATAGATTTGAAATGTCTTCCTTTAGTTGACTCAAGTCTACCTCCCCAGAGCTTCCTTGCTTTGGCCTAAGCTAGTGAGTAAGCCTAGATAACCACTCAGTCTTCACTCCCAGGAAATAACCAAGCACTCAGGGAAATAGCCTGTAGGCCGAAAATATATGTTTAATAAGTACAAGAGAAAGCCTACTATAACAAAAAGGCTAATTGGTGGAAGAAGTATTGGGCTTTTCTTATGGCCCTAAAAGTTGGTCAGGTTACAGATTCAGCAGGTAGAAGGACTACAGCAGCCCCTAAAACTCCAGTTGTACACACATCAGAAAATGCGTGGAATTCCTGTGAAACGGAGAGAAGAGCAGAAGCTGCAGCCTTAGTTTTGTAGGAGTTCACACTCTCACCAGGAAGATACAAAATAGAAGCATTTGGAGAAACCTGAAGCTTGGTCCTTATTTAAGCAGGTCTTAGATGATGGGCAAGCACAGTCTCCGTGGGAGGGACTAGTGTTATGGCCAAAGGCATTGGCTTCTCCCTAGAACTTTCTACTTAAGCCATTTTAAAAAGCTTAAGTTTCTCTGCCTCAGGCCTGGCTCAAACCTCCTCACGACAGCTCGAGCCAGCCCCGCAATCCTGGAAGAGCTGTTGGCTCAGAAACACAGAGGGAGTCTGGGACCATCCCCCATTATGTGGGAAGAGCAAGGAGAAATATGAAAAAGAAAAAATCTCCTTCCACACAAAGGAAGGGACAAACCAGACAACACAGTTAAGGAGAACAGATGAAGGTGGGGGCAGGGCTCATTACCATAACAACAAGCCTGACAATTCTGAAACATGGAATTGTTTGTCTTTTCACCTGTCAATCTTCTCGGTACTGTCACTCTCCTGGTAGAAGACAGTTGTGACTTTTTCACTCCCACCAACAAGCTGCCTGGCTTTGGGGAATTCAACCACTGTGGGATGGGAGGAGAATGGGGTCCCCCAGAGGGGTGCTCAGAAGACCCAAATTCTGTCTTTCCCCTTGTCCTAGTCGTAGGTTGGAAGCTTATAGCTTGCCCATGAAACTTGAACATAGCTGTTTGTACTCAGGTCCGCAAGGAAGTCCCCTCTTGTGGGGACACTACGGGCCAGAGGAGGAATCAGAGCTCTGGTCCTTAAATAAAAGGGATTGTTGTCCCTTCCCTCAGGAAACTCCATCATATTCCAGCAGAATGAGTTGAAGAGAGTCAATAACCGGAACTGAGCAGAAGACCGTGGTCTTGGGCCTTTTTTGAAAAATACTAAATTCAGTGCTATCGGAAAGCTAATGGCACACCTAAGGGAAATCAAAACACCTTGCCTACACGTAAACTCCACAACTATGTGGGCCAAGAAGACATCAACACCAGCACTTCATTCTATATCCTATCAAATTGTGCCAAATTTAGACAGTTGCGCTACATCTAAGTTTGCCTTCTGATGCTGGCAGTGATAGTGCCCAGACACCTCCTTGTCAGAGTTTTCCCTGACCCCTGCACTACGGAATTGTGTTGTCATAAAGAAGGATCACTGTGTGTTCTGCAAGTGGTGGCAGTCTACATATCGTCTGGCTGCCCTCTGTTTGTATGGGGTGTGTCCCTCACACACATAAGTACACTGCCAACTCCATGGGCCAGAGGCCTTCTTCAAAAGTGAGGGATGCTCTCCATCTCCGGACATAATCAAATGCTCAGTCATTGAACCTTCCTCTTTCTGTAGTTATATAGACTATGTCTTCTGCCCCCACTTCCATATGAACATCTAACCCTACTTCCTTCTCAGATACACCAGAAATGGGCACTCCACATTCTATGGCCAGGAAGGCATAGTAGCAATAAAAGATGCCCACCACTCCCTTATCTTTGAAGGCAATCTACAATTGAGGTGAACTTGAAAAGATCATGAGGAAGGAAACAGAAACAGCCTTGGTGATGAAGAAGGCAAGGTGCACTTCAGCTATTGAAAGTCTGGTCAGCTTGTGAAGTCAGCAGGACTCCTTCTTTTCTTCCCAGCCTCTTATCTGCCACCTCCCCCAGGCCTGTTCCCCATCCACTCCCTTGAGCATCACTGTCAACCACTCCTCGTTTCTAAGGTGTGAGCTAGTAAGGCATTACATGCCTCCCCACCAAACCCTTAGCCCTATCCACACAGAAAAAGTTCTATAGGAAATTCTATGAATTCTAATTCTTCTAAGAACTCTAAATTACCCTATAAAGGCAGAATTATAGACCTAAACAACAAACGGGGAGACGTTTTGAGTATTCTAAAAAATCATACCAAGTTGAAATTTTCTTGTTCAACCAACTCTTGAACAAAGCACCAAACTCATTTCTACACATTTCCCTTATCAGGCCATTATAACCAGAGCAGGAGAAAGTCTACTCCTTTGAACAAACATTTCCACTGCTTCCAAAGCCAGAATATGCCTTGCCAAGTATAAACCATTTTTCAAAAGCCATCTGCTTTAGCAATACAGGAAGCCACCAAAGGGATGTGCTTTAGCTAATCCTACAGCTCTGCTGGACGAGGCTGCTTCTGGGGAGAGAAGGCATGCTGCTATTTGCCAGCTGCGGTTCTCGAGCTCAGCCCTGCTGAATCCTGTACAATGCACCAAGTAGAACCAGGGCAGAGGTTACTGACTTGGTCAACAACAGACCCCTGTTCACACACCCAGATTCTAATAGGCAGATATCAAAGGAGTCCCTAAGGCAAGGCAGCTCACCCTTTGCTTGCCTATATTCCTACCTGAAAAAGAACATGTGGAGAGACATAAAAACTCTATCTTATCCAGTGCCACCAACCTACTAACCATAGTGTGTGCTTGTGCCAGCTGAGGCATGCCTTTTATTTTAACTCAATGAGAAACTTGTGCTTGTACAAATAATATAAGCAAAGGTGGTAGAGCCACCATGACATCTGGGGATGACCAGTCTTTCAGGATTTAAAGATGTGCTCTTGCCCGTATCAAGAATTTCACTGAGCAGTTTTCCCCTCTCCTTGAGTCATTACCTCCCACCGTGACCCAGTTTTGTTTGGCTGTTCTTACCACTTGGGAAGATGTTGTCCCTCGGTCCCCACTTTTAAACCCTACTGGAGGTGACAGAACTCAGGGATTGTCTCATCAGACTGATGACTTTTCTTAGGCTCCACAAAGTGAGTTCTGTCCACCTCCTATTGGACATGGGTATTTGTGCACAGGTCCTTAGAAATTAAGCACCCTGCTCCATGACTCTCCTCAAACAAAACAAGTGCAAGATCTTTTACCGCAGGTAACAGAGATTTCTAAATTCAGGCACCCGAATCTGCCTACAGTGTTTTTTTAGCAAGAACCTCCAACAGAAAGATGACACTAATTAAGCATAATTATTAGAATTTAATAGAGCCATTTTTCTATCTCAATACCTTTTTACTATTCCAAGCCCCCCAGTTTTTTTCCCCTAAATTAGGACTCAGAGCAGTAAGTTAAAAGTATATATTAGTGGATCTTTATTATACATACAATAACTGTCTTATTAAATTGAAATCAAATGCACATCTAGGGGAAAGTTCATTTTAAGTAACAACTCTCAGAGAAACACTGAGAAACATAAACAATAAGAGAGGCAAATGTATTGCTGAGCAACAGAGGGGATGGAGGGCGGGAACTACACTGAAAAGGAAGGGACAGTTTTCTGAAAGAATGGAGTAAGCCCAAGGGTGCAGATCTTAGTAGAAGGTGCCCTGAATTTCTTGTGGCATTTCCCTTCCCAGAATAGGCATTAGGGAGGGGGGAAATGTAATTATAAATTAAACATAATCAGGGATGCTTGGAAAATTGTTATACACACACACAATTTTTTTTCTGGGGAAATGTTTAAACTGTGTCAGTGAATAAATAGCCTTTCCAACTATTAGGAATGTTAAAGAGGGTGATGGGGTTGAGTGTATGTGTGTAAAGATGCTGTTACTTAGATGGTCTCTAGCCTCCTGGCTCACTTTACTCTTCTTCCCTCCCCCCTTCCCTTCCTCCTCTTCCTAGGACAAGACAAGCGCTCTGAGCCTCAGCAATGTGGCAGGCGTGTTCTACATCCTGATCGGAGGACTTGGACTAGCCATGCTGGTTGCCTTAATCGAGTTTTGCTACAAATCCCGTAGCGAGTCCAAGCGGATGAAGGTGGCATCGTCTTCCCAGGCCTTTTTCCTAACCTGATACAGCTGGGTTTCCTGGGAGTCCCTCTACTAGAAAGGGTGGGAGTGACAAGAGATTGAGGTCAGCCCAAGGCACGGGGCAGAGAGCTGTTATGAGGAAGGTGACAGGGGAAGAGGCAGCTATGAGGAAGGAAAGAAGACAGTAAACATAAGGCCCAAGAAAAGAACTACATCAGCCAGAGATGGATGGTGAGATTAAGTTAGGAGTTGAGGTGGACAGTGAACACAGCATGAGGGAAGAATAATCACTACAAAGTTAGATCCTTGCTGAGGTTGCATTAACCGAAGTGAAGCTCGCAGTATAGAGGAAAGGGTGTCAACCCTCTGCAAAATAGATAATCTTGCCATGCTTGGTGAATTAGGTCTTCTCTTAGCCACCAGATTGTGAGACAGACTTTGGCAAAGAGGATCATGCACAGAGAAGGGTAAGCGAATTAATTAGATGACCCCAAACGACATCAAATATAGCTAAAGGGAAATAACTGGAGAAGAGAAGTATGAAGAATATTTGGCTTGACTGTAAAAATAAATATGAACACTTTTCAGGTGGGAAAGAAAACAGACTAGTTCTCTGGGGTCCCAAACTGTACAACAAGAACTAACAACTAAAAGCTATGAGAAACAATTGTTAACACAATAAGGGAGATGTATTTTTCTTTCAGAGCTACCCAAAAATTGGATGAATTATCTCAATAAGTAGCAAGCATCCCATCACTGGAGGCATACAAGTAGAGGCTGGATAACTCTTGGCAAAGATATAGATTCAAGTATCCAAAGGGAGTTAGATTAAATGACCTTCACATTCCATCACGTAGCTTCAATAAGAAAATATTTATGAAAGTGTTAATCATGTGAGCCACACTATGAACAAGACATCCTGAGGAGGCAGAGAAGACTGAAATGCAAAATGTGACCTTTGACAAAGAATGACACAGAAAAATTACTCAGTGAAGCAACCTATGGTATAGATAGGAAGGTCTATAGCAATATAGAGGGAAAAAAAAAAAACTTAGAGAAGGCTTTCAGCAAGAGGCATAAATTAAGAGGAAGGACAAGTGGGATTCAGACCAACAGAAGTAGAGAGAAGCACAGCCACTCTGAGCTATGTACCCCAGGCTGTTACCCCGGCTGGACTAGGCTAAGAAGATTCACTGGTAGTGTTTACTCTCCTAGAATGCACCCCAAGATACCCATTTTATAGCTGCTCCCAAGCTCAGCACACTCATTGTTGGATCACAAGCATAGCCTCCTGCCTAGGCCCTCCCTGGATCAGCCCTACACGTACCTCCAAGGTCACACTTGGAGAAGACAGTGCTGGACATTTGCCGTCCCTACCTGGAAACTCTGTATTCAGTTCTGTACACAGGGACTGGGAGCCGGGGGAGGAGGGGCTTCTGTCCTGGCATTCAGATCTTCTGTCTTGGCGTTCAGCATTTCCACGTCATGGCTCCTGCCTACTTTCCCCTCCCAAGCAATCTGCTCTCCTTACATGTTCCATACTCCAGCCACCCACCTCATGCTTCCCACCCATGTCCTTTATGCATGCTGATGCCTCTTCCTGTCTTCTGTCCCATAGGGCTCATTTAAAAGACAACTTTCCTGAGGTATAACAGGAATAGTTAAAAGATGGTAGTGTGATGGTATTTGGCCAGGGATCCTATAAACACCTCAATTCTTCCCTTGGCCAGCTCACCTACTATATCCAAGCACAAAACACAGTGAAAGCATGGGCCTCAGACCCTAAAACCAGTGGAGACCTCCAAGGACCTTGGCTGGACACAACGAGGTCTCCTAGAACCTACACGAAGCTTACTTTGCCTATTCCATCTAAAACATAAGCCTAAAGACTCTCCTATTTCACCCTCGAAAGGGAGGAAAGGCCACCCCAGAGGCAGAGAGGGGAACAGCAGGAGATCTAGGTGAGCTACAACCTTTACAAACCTCAAAACGTTCCCATGGGCTGTGACCCAAACCAGTGGCCCAGGACAGCCCAGCACCCTTCATGGGGGCATCATCTCACTGCTCCCCTAGGACACAGTGCAGTGTAGTGGTCAAAAGCACAGGCTCTGGAGTCGGAATGTCTGAGTGTAAATCCAGCCTACTCCATCTTTTAACTGTCATCTTGGACAAGTTTCAATAGCTCTTGGATCCTCATTTTCTGTAAAATGAGACTAATGGTAGTACATACCTCAGAATTATTGTGAAGATTATATGAAAAATTGGATATAAAGGGCTTGGCAAAATTGTCTGGCCCATAGAAAGCCCTCAATAACAATGGTAACTAGAATTTATAATAATCATATTTTTATTATTATTGATGGCCAGCTACAGCTTCCTTAAGACCTTCCTTTTACTACCCCTACTTACATGTCCTAGCTTTTTTGAGCTATATAGATTGTGAATTCCCTAAGGTCAGAAAGCTGTGTCTGATTTCTCTTTGGACATCTCACACATATAGGGTAAGTTTTAGTAAAATCGATGTAGAATTGTATCTGAAGGTAAAAATCCCTTGGAGGATAAGATGAGGCATCAGAAGAAGCTGTTGTTAAGTTAAGCAAATACAACCATCAAAATCACCCGGCCTGGAAGAATAAACATCATCCAAGGTGGTTTTGTCTCCATCTGCTTGTGCTCATAAAATCTGATGAGACCAGGTACCCGCCAAGCAGGAAGCCTCTTGGACTTCCAGTCCTTCCTGTGGGATTATTGTGTCCCACTTGTCATAGTCAGTGCCAGGTAGTGGTACCAGGGCAACTAAAGACTGTGGTCCTCTTAAAACTGGGCAGTGTTGACCTTTATCACTGAAGTCACAACCTTCAGATTAAGACAGAAACTTGTAGAAGTAGCCACTGAGTCATGCTATGACTTCGTAGAGACATTCTTATCCTTCCCTTTAAGGAAAAGATGTTGAATTTCTCAGAAGCCAACATCAGATTCCCTTGGAATTATTAATCTAAAGTCTTTCATCACAATCTTCTGTTACTAATTCCATTGGCTGGCATGACTCCTACCCAACTGCTGAGGCTCCTCATAGTATTTTTAATCTCTAACTGCAGAAAAGATACTTCTACTGCCTTCGTTAATCGACCCAGCCCTTAAGTTTTGAAGTTCTATCAACTCTTCTCTTGTCCAAAGGAGAAAAGCAGAACATTTCACTTGCCTCTCAGACTTGCCAACTTTGCAGTCCTCTTTATCATTCTGTACTTTGCCTTCCCCAAAGGCAGTTAGTTCTTCACAGCAGTGCAGCCTCCAGCCTCACCCAGAGGCCCACATTGACGGTGCCAGGGGCCTTTCACGAGAACCTTCCTTCTTGTTTCTTTCCTTGATCACAGTATTTGGCCAGCTTTTAAGGCCTTGAGCCCCTAACCCTAGTTCAGGGCCAGCCTTCTGTTTTACAACAGTGTTCAATGAGTCCTTCCCCACGCTGCACAGAAAGGAGAAGGAGAGGAAGAGGGGTCAGAAAAGACAAAGAAGGGAAAAAGAGAGAGAAGAAAGGAAGGGAAGAAGGAAAGATGTCTTCTTAGTAACTTTCATGTTCAAAGTGCTATATACATTTTCACTAACCCTGTAATGTGTTGTGCTTGCAATCCGACAGATGAAGAAACAGAGGTTCAGAGAAGCTAAGCAGCTTGTCCTAACATGGTTACAAAAGCTAGGCACTGGTGGAACAGGCATTAGACCTCCAATATGGCCTCTGCAAACCTAGTTTCTCGGTATCAGCCAAGTCACTTCCGATTTCTCTCTCCTCCCCAACCACATGGCAACAGATACTTTTGAGCTCGTACTATGTGTCCTCTCAAGCTATAGCCACAGTGCACTGACAGAGAATATGCAGCCCTTACCTTTAGGTTTTCTGACCTAGTTGTTGAGGCCATCCATGGCATGTAACCCTTGGCTTGTCATTGTTGAGTTCCTTTCTCCTTTGATGTCACATGAGCAGAACACAGAGTGAGTGTCACAGGGAAATGGGAAGGACACCCTGTCAGCATTCCTTCCACAAAGACATACTGAGCATCACCGTAACTAGGCATTGCTCAGTACTGAGGATACAGTCAAGAAAAAAGCAGACAGCTTCTGCTCTCAGGACAGAGTTTGATGGAGAAGACAGAAAACAAGTAAGCTACTTACACATGTTCAATGAGTGTTATCAAGAAAAATGCCCAGTGCTGTCCAGTCCTGTCTGAGATGTAGGGACTGGTCAGAAAGGCCTCCTTGAGAAAGTGACGTTTAACAGACTTGAAGCATAAAAGGGATTAACCAGGAGAATTGTCAGCAAAAAATGCACAAGTGTCAGAGACCCAAAGACCAGAACTCTTATCCAGAAATCAGGAAAAGGAGACTAGGGCACAGAAAGACTGAGGAAAGAGGAAAACTTGAGAACTGGGGATTCAGGCAACCAGAACATTTGAGCATAATTTGTAGCAAAAATATATAAGCTAAGACAAACTCCAGATTGAATAGTCTCATATCCTTCACTCCTTCCTTCTGCTTGGGTTAACAGACCAGAACCTAAGTTCTTAGGTAACATGAAGGACAACCAGGGTCTTTAATATTCACCACCTTCCTCCCAACGGAAAGGAACCCCCAGCCTCTCCCACGCCCAGGACAGCCACTGACCCTTCCTAATTGTATGTGGCAGTGCTAAACAGGCTGTGCGTAAGCCAAAGCAATTGAGGCTTTGCGCATTCTATGGAATTAATAAGCAGCCGAGAGACTTTCATTTTGGGAGTGCATCCGCCATAGCAGGCAGTCGCTCTAGCTCTTAGCATACATGCTAGGATGAGGTCATCACTGAGGTTTGAGCTTTTATTAGGGTGTTCTATGATGTGCAGAGGCTGGGAAGACTTTTCTCTAAAAAGCAAGTGGCTGACACATTAGGATGCAATCACTGTTAAAGAAAGGAATCTGATGAGCCAGCTCGAGGGACTTTGAGGTGAGACTCTACTCCTGGAGTATCGATGTCAAAACAATGACTCTAAGACTGAGCTTTAAGAATAGCTGGAATGTCAAGGATGGACCAGGGACAAACATATTTCCCAGAGACCTGATAAGGAATGACATCAGCTTATGACAGCTTAGCTACAGCGAGTAAGAAGATCCACAGTTAAAAAGTCATCCACTTTGGCACTAGACCACATGTAACTGTAACCTTAAGCAAGTCAGTCCTAAGTCTTCAGTTTCTCTGTAAAGTGAATGAAATAAACTAGGATTAGTGTGTTTCAACCTTGCTTGCATATTAGAATCACCTGGGGAGATTTTAAAACTCCAGATGTCCAGGCTACACACCACACTTATTAAGTCAACCTCTCTAGGATTAGGTCTCAGGTTTTGGGAGGTTTTTTTTTTTTCCAAAAACTCCCCAATGTGCATGCAAGTTTGAGAACTAGTGATCTAGTCATTTTTAGTATTGCTTTCCACTTCCAAGTTTTGACTCTATTCATTTCTCCTCCTGATATCCCATAAATGTATCAGAAAGGAAACCAATAAGTAGGCTGTACCCACTATCGATAGGTGTATGGAGTCAATGACTTCAAGAAGCCCTTAGCTTCCTTGAAAACCAGTTCTCAGTGACATGACCTTGGAGGATTTTAGTCACATGCTTGGCTAAGTTCTCTCACACTTTGAGAGGCAGACTGTGCCACCAATCTTCTCCTTTAAGATACATTGAACAAGTACCACTTCAATGAGATATTATGGGAATGTATGAGACCTTTTGAGAAACAAAGCCCAAGGTGATCAGTGTGAACTTTAAACTTTTTTTTTTTAATTAAAGGGATATGACAGAAAAACCACAGATGATAGATATTTCAAGCTAATCTACAGAAAGTTCCATATTTTACAGACACATACCAAGTTATTTTCTTTCAACACTTTTAGGTGAGATAAGTAACTGCTAATTTCTCATGTTTTCATTTTACATTTGCCCCACAGAGCATCACAGTGGTGTTTGTTTGGCCGTGACTTAGCAGGATGCAATCCAAGTCACACTTCCTCTTCAGTGGAGGACAACCAAGGCAGAATGTAAATAAACCAGCTGCAAAGGTTTGAGGAGGAGACAGAACCAGTGTAGGTAGAACATCATATGCTGAAAACATGTCTGAATCCTGGATTTTAAAAAGAAAGGACATTTTAAAACATTATTAGAATTGCTGGTAATAAGAGGATATTTCTATCAAAGTACAGCAGAAAAAAAAAATTGGATCAAAACTGCCGTTTATATCTGTCTAACCACAGTAGGTTGACTGACTTCTCTGATCATTAGACTCATGGGAATATGCAAAGAAGAGAGCCATAGACTTTTTTAGAAGACTCCTAGGTGGTTGAGTTTTCTTAGACAAATTCAAGAATAACAATTAAGCATCTAACTACATGCTGGACCCTCTGAGAGATAGCTAAGTATTGAGAAGAAGACATGGCCCTTTTCTCCCTCCAGATAGTTAGGTCCCCTAAAGGAGACAAAATTTATATACCTGAAGCAGAACAATTACAAGAGAATGTATAATGTGTGAGGACTAAGGTGGGCAGAGGGAGGGGGGCAGCACTTGCTGGTGCAGTTTAGGATGGCTTCAAGAAAGAGGCGAGAACAGAATGTGCCTTGAAGGATGGGTAGTATTGGTCTTAGAGGAAGAAACCCCTCAACTCATAGAAAATTCTTCCCTTTATGTTGATTCCCATCAAGTAACTAAGTCCCACCTAAAAAAAAAATCTATTAGTATCTCTTAAGGTGAAGTTGGAAATGACAGGAAGAGATAAGGGTTTGGATTTCATGTCACAAAGTTACTTTCACCAAAGGAACTCAAAACAGAACCCTGCCTTTTGTCTAAGAGGAGATGGTTCTAATCCCAGATTGTGGTCTTGAACATCCCACCTAACTCATCTGAACTCGGGGTGATGTTGGAGTCCGTTTCATACACAGAATCTCACCATTCTAGAAATCACAAGTTTATTAACACTGATCTGAAGTGTCAATTTAGAAGTGAAGGGTTTTTTGTTTGTTTGTTTGTTTGTTTTAAAGAAAGATAAAAAAAAAGCATGCAGGTTATACGTGCTGATGGGAAGAGGTTGACACACAGCTAATGATCTCTGCAATCCATTCTCATTCTCTTTAGCACATGCCCCTTTTCAATTACATTTTGCCTATTGTATTATTCAAATGAGTGCTACAGTCCCTTAACACATACTGCTAGAGGTAGGATAGCATTTTCCCTGAAGTAAATCAGAAGCAGTTTTTAATTTTAACCCAATGATAACACACCCTTAATTTTTTTTAACATTTTGAATAATTTTTCATGCAGTGGCATCACTCTTGCTAAGAAAAGTTTGTAGGTACATAGATAAACACATTTGATAACCATGGAGATTTAAAAGGTCTAGAGAGAGAAGGAGATATGCACAGGGTCATACAACTAATTCATGTTAGAACCAGAACTAAAATCCAAGCTCCCTAAACCCCATTTTCATAGTTTTTCCATTTGGTTCATGTTGCTACATTTATTGCAATCAATACTATCAAGGAACTATTCCACCTTTAGAAATCACAGAATATAAGAACCAGAAATGATCTTGGAGATCGCCCAGTCCGGCACACCTCATTAAACAGAGAGAACATGAGGTCCAGAGAGGGGATGACTTGTCCAGAGCTATGCAACAATTTTGTGAGTTCATGGGAAGTCAAGATTAGCATTATAGATTAGGAAAGGAGTTGGACAGGGAAGAGGTTAGGGATGACCTTTTACGTCCAGTGTTGACTCATTCTCTTTGCCAATCATTGCCAAGGACCTGGGGAAGAACCCCTGGTCCTCCTGAAAAGGGTTTCTGTTTGATCCCACAGCAATCCATCAATGAAGCCATACGGACATCGACGCTCCCCCGAAACAGTGGGGCAGGAGCCAGCGGTGGCGGTAGTGGAGAGAATGGCCGAGTGGTCAGCCACGACTTCCCCAAGTCCATGCAATCAATTCCCTGCATGAGCCACAGTTCAGGGATGCCCTTGGGAGCAACAGGATTATAACTGGAGCCGATGAAGATCCCTTGGGGAGCAGGCTCGAGCTCCCCCAGCCCCATCCCAAGCCCTTCAGTGCCAAAAACAACAACAAAATGAAACGCAACCGCCACCAACCACCACAACCACAAGAAGGATGATTCAACAGATTTTCCTGAAGAATTGAAAACCATTCTGCTGTCCCTTTTCCTGTTTTGATGTTCTTTCGCCCTTTTCTGTTTGCTAAATAAGGATGATAAATAACACTGTACTGCAATAAGGGGAGAATAACCCTGTCTAATAGAGCTTGTGTCTCTGAAAATGGAGTCACTGGAACACTAATGAGGAAACTACTGTTTTCTTTTAATTCGGTTGTTAATGTGTCTTAGTGTGTGCAATTTTTTTCTTACTAATATTCATGGTTTGCAGGTTTTGTTAGGCCCTTTCCTTCTCCTTACTTCTTATTCCCAACTCCCTACCCATCTCTCTTCAGTTTTCAGATTGGAGATTCAAGATTTGTTCTACCTTAAAAGCAAGAAAGGGATAAAAGCAGCCTTCAAACTAATTCACCATGGGAGCTCTTCAAGTTACCCTTCACTCCTCGGCCCCAAGCCCTGAATGGAGACGGAGGTTGCTGAAGGAGTGAGCTGCCTTCCCCAGACAGGGAACTGCCTGAGCACTGATTTAGTAGAGAATGTGTGTGAAAAGCAACTCAGACCAAGGGTGGCGGAGAGGGCAAAGGCAGGTATGCACTCAGTGGAGGACTCATGAAGTCATTGCTGGAGGCTCAGATAAAGCTTCCTTTAACGTGTAAGAACCATCTCATAGGCCTTAGATGGAATATCTTTCTTCAGAGTCAACCTTAGCCCTGATAAGTATGTCCTTCTGATTATTCTCAAGCCCAAAGGCACTCTGGTGGCTGAAGGGCAGTTGGCCTCATAAACCAAGTAGAGACTTGGGGAACAGCTGACGGCCAGGGGAGACATCATTCTAGCTCTTCGCTTGCTTAACATCTGAGCAGGAGCCCGTTGTGGAGTAGACTCTTTTTCCTTTTGGAGCCTCTGATTTGGAGGGAAATGCTATGCAAGCTAAGTGTGAAAGGTGATGAAAAACTGTTGGAAAAGGAAGTTTCATCCAAGTGACAGAACCTCTGTGGTGTGCCCTCTCCTAGGTTTGAGAGACTGAATATGAAGCTTAGGGTTTTGCTTACCTGGAGAACCTGGGTATTTATTGTCCATATAAAAATGTTATTTTAGCATGGGACCAGATAACATTCTGTCATCTTTAGAAAGTAAAATACCCAAGGCTGAACTATTTGAAGGAAGAAAGGGATATGGATTAAGCTGATACTGACATTGGGGCTCTTAAGATCCCTGACCCCAACTTCTAACCCAAGGAGGCAGACCTTCCCTCTGGCTTAGACAGAATGCAGATACTGTATTCCAATAACCAGAATCAATACGCCCAGGATTGTGACTTTAAAGCTGAACTAAAGCAAGATTGGAGAGGCGACAGAACTCATGAAGAGAAGCCCAGGCTGACTGCAACTTTAGTTGGGAGGGGGTGGTTCTTGGCACATGGCTTTCTTGGAGATCCCAGTTCTCATTCTTGGTGCAATTGGCTTCCAGCTCTCCAGCAGCCACTCTCCTAGGTGCATGATTCAGTGCGTGCCATGTGTCATTAGCTTTAATTGATAACCATATTCTGGCTTGTTCCCTTACCCCATACTTCTACCCAGTCTTCTCTGCTAGGGGTTATCATTAGCAACTGACAAACTAAAGGTTTTGGAGCCTGGCTACAAGTAGGCGCAGCATGACTGGCTTCATCTGTGGATTCTCTCAGTGGACACCCACCATCTCTACGTCCTTCCCATTCTTCTTTCATCAGCCATAGCAAAGAACCATCCCAAAATCAAACTCTTCACCCTTTTAACTCAAGTGTTATTGTTCAGTCTCTCACGTGTCAATGTGGGCATGGTACGTGAAGCAGGACCCTCAAGATGGACTATCATTTTTCATTACTGCCGGCTGATGTCCTCCCAAGTCCCTGCTCTCTCATCAGATTTTTCTCAGCCCTTAGCCTACCACTGCAGAATCTGATATGACCCGCCATTAGGGAATCTGCCTTTCAAAGGAGTTGGAAATAACCCTCTACCATCAACATGCTTCAAAGACCTTTTCTCTTTTGCCTGGTAAGATGGCTCTCCAGCTACTGAGCTCACCAGTAACATGATCTGATAGGGAGAGACCATCTATTCGAGAAATGAGGGTCTATTCTATATGGGAGTCCAAGACTCCAGTGGAAGATGCTTTTCACTGATGGAGGAGTGATGGGGAAAACAAAAGCAAGAAAAAAAGTTAACTTGTATTATGTATTTTTACTACACTTTTCTTAAAAATAGAGCAATGGGAAAACTCTGAAAGAGATTGACATTTTTCTCAACAGGAATCCATACTTAACAGTTCTAGATTTCATTAAATTTTGCTCTTTGGTACCTGGGCTTTTTATTTAACACCTATATTTGTTTTAACTCTCTTTGCAGATGTGTGAAAGGATTTTTGCTTGATCAAACACTAAATAGTTTTTTCGGTTCCTGTTTTTTTTTCCAAGTAGCCAGGTTTTTTTTTTTCTTTTCGTATTTGCATAAAATGAAAGTATCACCGAGAATTAAATCACTGTGGATCCATTATCTACTTTTCATATTTGTCCATTCCATTTTTGTGCCATTTCTGAAGACAGAGCTCTAGAGGTTTGTTATTTCCTTATTGCTGAGCCTAAGTCCAGTACATTATTTAATGGTGACTCATAAACAGCTCTCAAACAAGTCATGTCAGCTGAATTAGATCATTGTGAGTTATTCATCTAAATAGGATTACCACGACAATGAAAAGACAAAAAGCAGTATTTAGTTTTCAAGGGCCACAGTTTTGACTGCATAAGGAGCAGGTCTGACTTGCAGAGTACTTCCTGGGAACTGGTTGGCTCACAGGGAATGTCTCCCAGGCATTTCCAAACTGCAGTCCAGGAGTCCAGGTGTACCTGTGATGTGCACAGTCACAACCAAAATCCAAACTAGACCCGGCTTATGAGTAGATAATATTGGTCCTCAGACCATATGACCCTTGTTCTTACCTGAAAGCTTTTCTTTAACTCAAGAAAGATATGCTTTCTGTAAAGGATCTGACATTTGTCGACACTTAGTATTGATGCTTAAGAGTTTTCTTTCCCAAGGAACTTTGCATAGTAACAGGGGTCAGAGGCCTAAAATAAATGAACAAAGTTCTAACAGTGGTACTTCAGGCAGCAACTACCATGGTAGAAAAGGGCTAGGGGAAAGGAAAGAATCTAGCAGGTTTGTGCAAAGCTGTAGTTATCATCAGCACCCACATGCAGTCACCTGCAGCATCTAGGGTGCCACTGAATGAAGAAGCACTCAGCACCAACTGACGTGGAGAAAACTGATCTCTGTCAACTTACCATCAAAGAGCTGGGATAATGATCATGATGGCTATAAGCGCACACATTACCTTATATTAAACATTTACTATGTTAAGCACCTTCTATATCGTGACAATGTCCCTCTGAGGTAGGGCCTTACAGATGAGGAACTCAGACTTACAGAGATAACATGACTTGTTCAAAGTCCTGTGAGTGACAGAGCCAAGATTTGAATTGGGTCTGCTTGAATCCAAAGCCTTTATATTACACATCTCTCTGTTAACTAGGCCATGATGCACCATGGTCAGGAAAATAACAGGCAAGCAGTTCTATCTTTCTGTTATGCCAAAGTAACTGAAAATGGAGTGGTTAAAGTTACACTTGTCACACCTTTTAGAAAGCCAACCTATCCTTTTGGGGAACAAGAGATCATTAATCCAGACAGAACTGCAAAAAAGGGAGAAGAGAAGAAAGAGTTCCTTTTAGCCCCTTTAAAATAGATCCAGGCAAGGAGGCAGCAAGCAGGATGGGAAGAGGACTGAGAAGCAGGTCTCCTGCACAATAATTAACTCAGCCTGGGGAAGGACCCTCAGCGCTGGGGGAAATGGAGCTATCTTTCTGTGTAAACAAAACCAGGATCAGTTCTGGAGATTACAGGACAATGAATTTAGGCTCAGTTAATAAAAGAATTTCTAATGTCCCAAGTTTCCCCATAGTAGTTTTAGACCGCCCTTACAGTCTAATACTGCCCTATCAAGTAGACACCACAGGTGTTAAAGTTGAAATGCAGATCCTCTAATTTTCCTTTTCTTGCATCTTTTATAGCCCCATTCAGGTTATCTGATCAGTAACACTCTGATATGTACTAAAAGGGGGTCAGCAAGGCCCTAAAGAAATGGGCATGAATATCAGTCACTGAAATAATGTCAAAAATCAACTTAAATTATCCTAATTAAGAGACAAGTAGCAAGTTTCTTGCTTACCAAATGCCAATCTTCTCTCTAGGAAAGAATGTCTACGTAGGTCCACTATTATCCCATTTTACAGATAAGAAAACTGAGGTTCTTGAATAAGAAGCTACTTTGCCAAGATCACAGTATGAGTAGAGAAGCAATGTGCTATCATGGAAAGGTCAATAGATTAGGGTTCACAGTACCTGGATTCTCCTCCTTCTTCCCTGTAATCTTGATAAGAAAATTAACTACCCTAAGCCTCAATGTCTTTATCAAAGAGATGGAACAATTGATGTCAAAGTAAGCAGTAATTCTTGACCCTAATTGCACAAAGAATTACCTAGGTTACTTTAAACAAAATCACCAATATCCAAGATGCATCTCCAAATACAGCTTTTCTGAGTGTGGGCATAGTTGCCATTGTTTTATTATTGTTGTTTTGTTTTGTTTTGAACTCTCATATGATTATAATGTGCAACCAGGATTGAGAACCACTACAATTGGGCAATGCAGAAGATTAAAGAAAATGCTCATGAAAACATCTTTGAAAATTACAAAGCACTATATTAAGGGTATTTGACCAACACCAAAGCCAGGTTACTTGATGGCAATCAAATTTCCATGGTCCCAAGGGAGAAAATACCATTATATTCATCTGATACAAGAGAAGGAATAGACACAGTCCTTAACTTGGGCTCTATATGTTTCTTGATCCTTTAGGCATGTTTGTAATATGGAGATTTAAGACATGAGAGATAAGATATAATTGTCAGAGATACCTCTTCAGGAAGTAAGGGGGAAACAACTTTGTCAAATGAGTCAGCCTTCAACACAGCCAGTTATTTTCCAAACTGGAAAACTACTTGGCTGTTTCCATTATAGACATCAGATCTCACCACCTACACTTTCTAACACAGTCTACCAGAAAGCACTGTCCATTAGCCTTATCCTCCATGGGCATCCTGAGTCCTACTGGTGACAACTCAATACTATGCTAGGGTTTCACAAACCTTTCACTTAGTTCTCAAAACGAGCCTGTGAGTTGGGGACATATTACCCTCATCTTACATGAGAGGAAATGGAAGATCAGAGAGGTTTAGGATTCAAGGTCATGCAGCGAACCATTGACTTGACCTAAGTATACTTGACCTGATATTAAGCCAAGTCTGTCTTTATCCAAAGTCACTACGTTTTTACTTTATTTGACCACCTCTTAAGGAAATTTCACAATTCTAAGGAAAAGCACTGGACTGAGATTTAAAAGCCATAAAGTCTATTCCAATATCATTGCCAGTTTGCAGTGTGGCCTTGGGCAACTCGTTTTCCTACTCTGGGCTTCAGTGACCTAATCAATGAAATGAGAGGAAAGGGATTCATCTAACTGATCTCTAAAATTTTTCCTAGTTGTAGCTTACGTCAGTGGTTCCCAGCCAGAGGCAATTTTGTGCTCCACCCCAGGACATTTGGTAAAGTCTGGAGATAATTTTTGTTGTGACGACTAGGGATAGAGAATGCTACTGGCATTTAGTGGGTAGAGAGCCAGGAATGCTGCTAAACTTCCTACAAACACACAGGGCAGTCTCCCACAATAAAGAATTACCCAGTCTGAAATGTCAGTAGTGTGAGGTTGAGAAACCTGTCTTTTATGATTATAGCATTTCAATAGTATCTTTGGATGTGGGATATGGCAGGACAAGTCTGAAAAGGAAAAGGGCAAGGATCCTAAATCAAGTGAACCATCAGAGAAGAGGAACAGTTACATGAGGTTAGGCAAGGAAGAAGCTAAGTTTAGAGAAGTAAGCTGAGGTCAGAAGAGTTTGGCCCACAGCATAAATCTAGACAGGACAGAGAAGCCAAGGCTGGGGATTCAATCAGACAGCCAAACACAGGCCAACAGCCATGGCTCAGGAGATAGCAGGGAGCTCTGCCTATAGAAGTGGTTTATATTCTCCCCTGTGTCTTTTTGCCGATGACGCTGCAGCCACATTCAGTTGAGAGACCCACAGGTTAGCCTTACCCACCCCCCAAAAGACTGACTGAGCTTCATTTTTATCCCAGAATATACACTGTTCCTTCTAACAAACAAAGGTATTGAACACCTATGTACAGAGATGGATATCATGGAGAATAAGGATGACAAATAACTGAGAGTCCTGTCTCTTACAAAATTGATAGTCAGGAAGGAAAAATAAGACACATAAATACCAGTAGTGTAACACGGGTGGAAGGTAGATGGAAAAAAGTGAAGTGCCTGGGTCCAGTCCTCTACATGCCTCTCATCACCTTGCATCCAGCCTCTAAAAAGAGAATTCTGAACAGATGATATTTCATACCCTTCCCTCCTTGGTCACTATTTTCCAGCTGTCCTAGCTTCTGTCCTGTTTATCAAACATGCCACGCTTAGTTCCATCTCAAGGCCCTTGCACCTGGAGTTTCTTTGATTTGAAACCCTCTTTGACCAGATCTTTGTGAGGCTGGCTCCTTATTACCTATGTCTTAGCTCAAGATATAACCTCCCCAGAACAGAAGGAGAGCCTTCCCTCTCTACCCTGCCCAGATTAGCTCTGAAGTCACTCACTCTCACATTACTCATCACCACCTAATAATACCTTGTTTATTGGCTTATTGTCTTCCTCTTCCCATCTAGAATACACATTTGCAAGACCAGGGACCTGGTCTGCCCCAACACAATGCCTGGTACATAACAGATCATCAGTCAATATTTATTGAATATGATTTGATGAATGAGAGAGGTAGATTGCTCTTTGGTGTCCAAAGGAGGCAGAGGTCATTTCTGCCGAGGGAAATAAGAGAAATGGGTGATTACATTTGCGTGTTGCCTTAAAGATATGTAGGCATTACACTGTGACAGAAAAAGGCATTCGAAGAAAGGGAAATGGAACAAGCCAGGGCGTGAAGGCAGGAATCTGCAGGGCCTATTTGGGAACGTGCAAGGCCCTCTGTAATTGTCACCACAATGGCCAAGGGAATCAGTGAAGAGAAGACTGGGCATGAAGAGCTACTAATTCATCATGAAACAGGGAGGTGAAGTTTTGGGAGGACTAAGGAATAAATTCCTTCAGATATCAGGTATCGAGTTTGCAAGAAAATGGTATCTTAGGCATTTACTATGTGCCAGGCACTTAAAGCCACTTCTCTCATTTAATCCTCATGGCAGTAATCCTGTGAGGCAGAAGTATCATCCCAATTTTATGCTTGAGCAAGCTAAGGCTCAGAGGTGGAAACAGAGCTTTAGCCACCTAGAATTTATATATTCCTACAACGAAGTTCCCTTAAC